GGCCACAGTGCTCTGAGAGAGAGAGAACTGTCTTTCTTATCCTCAGTCCCTCCAGAAGATCTGGTTCTGTGACTGGCACTTGCAAAGCTTGTGGTAGATGTGGTGAGGCTTGTGCTCCTGTGCCTTTGCCATCTCCATGAGAAAAGTCTGCCCCATGGAGGCCACCAGTGCCCCAAAATGGGGATTTGAGGAGCAGAGCCAGCAGCGGACTCACAGCTCGAGAGCTCATCACAGCTCTGTCCCAGGCCATCTGCAAACTGGGGACATGGTGTTGAATAATTACTGGCAGAGTGGTATCTATTATTGTCATTGCCATAACACTGAGTATTTTACTAATGGCCTGCTTCATAATCAGGGTGAGGCTGTGGCTGAAACTGCTAGTTTCTCTATTGAACTTTACTCAACAATGCAAAAGACAAAGGCTCTTCTTTCCCCAAATGTCATCTTGGGGGAAGTACAGGAGGAAGCCTATTTAAATAGGACATTTAAGTGATTGGGGCCAAGAGCCGTGGACTTTCCACTGCCCTGAGTGGTAGAAAAAGTTTAGCCAAACGAAAGAAGCAGAAGTAGACAAGGACAGAAAGTGCAACTGGGCCCAGAGGGGCAGTCCTCTGCAAAAGTCAATGCCTAAACACACCAAGGGGTAAAGTTCAGACAGCCAACTCCTGGGCAAACTTCACTGATCCTAATCCCCTGCCAGGCCTGAGCTGGGCTGCAGGGACATGTCAACAAGGGTGTGTTACAGTCACACAGTGTAATGGGTGTCAAACAAGGCAGCAAAGGCCAACTGCAGGATGTGAAGTGGCAAGATAAAAATGACAGGAAGATCCTTCCTAGAAGAGATGGGGAGGCCTGCCCAGAGGAGGAGGTCTGTTCTGGAGGTGGCTCTCAGGGATGCAGAGAGATCCAGGCAGAGAGCACAGCACTGTAAATACGCACAGTTGTGTCCCAAGAACTGCACTTCTGATGGGCTGAAATGGAGACTTCTGGGGGTGGGTGAGTGTTAAGAGGTAAGCAGAACTCAGGGCCCCAGGGCTGTGTGTACTGGTTCAGGGGGTTGGGACCGAGCAAAAAGCAGAAACGTTTGATGGATTTTAGCATGGTTGGATCTGCATTGTAGAAAGGAGGGAGATTCAGATAGTATTATTTAGTGGATTTTTTCCTGAGGAAAGGGCAGTTAAATAACAGATTTTTCTTAACTTTGGTTTAATTGATGTGTAATTTCTAAAAAAAAAAAAATCTCAAACATCTCTACAAAATATAAAAATTTCTACTGTCCCAAAATATTTACTTGCGCCCTTCCAGTCAGTCCTTTCTCACTCACTGGCCACAGCTAACTGTCAATCTGCCTATCATTACAGTAGTCAGAGATTTTTTCCCATCCTGGAATTTCATATAAATGAAACCAACCAGTGTGTACCCATTCATGTTTACTTTCTTTTACTTGACATAATGATTCTGATGTTCATTCACATCTTTGTGTACAGTGGACCCTCAAGTTAAAACTGGGCTGAATATGAACAACTTGGGTTACAACTGGAATTTCAGTTTTAACTTAGGGGTCTTGAGTCAAAGTCTTGAGTTACGACCAGAATGCCGGCTGTTTGTGCTTCCAGATTGTCTCAGATACAGATATAACCCTTAAGGAGTTCTGGAAGGAACATTACAACAGCCTTTCTTATGTGGGGTGCATTGAGAAATCCTGGGCCAGTGTCTTTTTAAGGACACTGAGACCTGCCTGTTTACAGGAGAGAGACTTTGAAGGCTGTATAGGGAAGCCCAAATCTTCATTGATCTACTTGAGTTACAACCAGCCCTTGGGAATGAATTAAGTTAATAAGTCAAGGGTCCACTATATATCAGTAACAAGTTCCTCGTTATTATTGAAAAAAATATTTCATTGTATGGATATTCTGTCTTGTTATCCATTCTCCTTTTAATATACACCTGATTTGTTCACAATTTTTGGCTTTTATGAATAAAGCCACTATGAATATTCACATATAGATTTTATAAACATAAGTATTCAGACATCATAAGATGCCAGAAATATCAGTTGACTATGTTACTATAATTCTGCCTACTAAAATCCCCCAAACCTCAGCACCCTCTGCCAGTAACCATTCAACACCCTGCCCACCAGTTTGCAGATTGACTAGGACTGATGTGCATCGAGTCCAGACCTGTGGATCACTGGCTCTCTTCTCTGAATCTCCCATTCTTGGGGCACTGGTCATTTCCATGGGGCAGACTTTCCTCATGCAGATGGCAAGGCCACAGAAGCACAAGTCTCACTATAGAGGTGCATTTTAGGTTTCTTCCTGAGTCATCTGCTAACACCCCTTTGGAGGGAGCACATCACAGGTTAATCTTCCAGCAAGAGGAGTGTATATTTGCTGAATAATCCAAATTACTGTGCCAACTGCCAAGAAGACCCTCTCTAAGTAAAGAAAACAATGGTCTTTCCTGATTTGTCACTGTGTGAGGTGTCTATATCACCTAGCTTGTCTTCCCCACACCTTTCCCCTCTTTAGAAACAACACCTTTTTCCGATAAACTTTCCACTCACCAATTGCAATTACAAGGTTCCAATTGAGGTATCAGATTTGCTAAAAAACCAACTTCAACACCCTGATTTTTTTTTTTTTTCGGTACCAGGGATCAAATTCAGGTCCTTGTGTTTGCAAGGCACTAAGCTAAATTTCTGACCCAACCTGACTTATCTTTTATTGGTCCTGATGAAGGTATCTGACCCAACGAGGACTAATCAGGGTCCTTCCTCAAGGTATTTAGGTTTGGTAACAGTGCTGTGGTTCAGACACGGCTTGTCGCTATGCTGGAAGCTCTGTCTTCAATGTGCCAGCTTTAAGAGGAGGTGGGGCTCAGTGGGGAGGACTCAGGTAGTGACAATTTCCACCTCATGAGTGAGCAACGCCATCTCAGGAGAGGGAGCTAGCCCTTGCACAAGTGAGCGGCTTCCCACAAGAGCAACCTCAACCCTCCCCACCCCTTTGCTTCCTTGCTGGAGCACATGTGCCTTTCACCTGTGGCTGGGGCACATGGTTCTGTGGCTTCCCAGGTAACGTGGGCAGCTTGCATCTCCTTAGTGATACCTGAGCTTGCCTTGTGATTGGCTGGAATGAATTGCCCTTTAATGAGGCAGTACGCACAGTTTGCAGCAAACAGACAGGCTAGAACTGGGTTTTAATACAGTTGTTGAGCGGAAAAGCCATTTGCCTTTTCTGTGGCAAAATACAGATAATATAAAATATACTTGGAGAGGCTGGGGGTGGAGCTCTGTGGTAGTGTGCTGGCCTAGCATTCAGAATCCTGGCATTCAATCCCCAGCATTTCAAATGTAAGAATACAATTTACCATTTTCACCATTATCAAGCATATAATTCAGTAGCATTAAGGACATTCACACTGATGTGCAAATGTCAGCATCCATTTGCAGAATACCTTCATCATCCTAAACCTAAACACTACACCTAGTAAGCAACAACTGGGGATGTGGACATAGCTCAGTTAGTAGAGCACTTGCCTAGCATGCACGAGGCTCTGGGTTTGATACCCAGCACAATAAACAAAATAAGAATATAACTCTTCACCTTCACCACACCAGCCCCTTGTAACCATTCTCCTACTTTCTGTATCAATTTGAGTATTCCGGGCACCTCAGATAAGTGGAATAACACAGTATTTTTCCTTTTGTGCCTATATTGTTTCATTCAGCATAAAATGTCATCAGGGTTTACTTGTTTTAGCATGTGTAAGTTTCCTGCCTTTTTAAGGCTGAATCACATCCTACCTATGTTCCTATGTATTTACTACATTGTGTTCATCCATTCATACACAGGAAGACACTTGAGTTGCTCCTACGTTGTTTGTTTATTTGTATGTGTGTTTTGCTTTTGTTTTGTTCTTGCAGCACTGGGTGTTGAACCCAGGGCCTCACATATGCTAAGGAAACACTCTACCACCGAGCTCCCCAGTCATTTCTTAACTAAGTTGCCCAAGCTGATCTCCAAATTGTGATCTTCCTGCCTTGGCCACCTGAGTAGCTGAGATTGTAGGCATGCACCACTATCCCAGTTAACACCATGTTTTTTTGTTATTGGTTTTTTTGGGGTTTTTTGATACCAGCGATCGAATCAGGACTTTGTGCTTGCAAGGCAGGTGGCAGAACCACTAAGCTAAATTCCCGGCCCTAATGCCTATGTTTTGACTATTGTTAACAGTGCTCGGCGAACATTGGCGCACACGTATCTGTTCAAATCCTTGCTCTCGGGTTTTTGAGTATATATGCTTAGAAGCAGAGTCATTAGATCATAAAGCCCATTTGGCTTTATGAAAAAAATTTCATTGGAAGGGAAAACTAACTTTTTGGCAAAGAAAATAGCAAATTAACAGAGGATAAAAATAATGTCTGCTTCAACAGATAATTCTTTTATCTTACAAAATAAGTGAAGACAGATGTGCTTTTTGGGGGGCTGAGTTCCTCTATCTCTGTCTCTCTCTTACCCCACACACACACACACACACACACACACACACACACACACACACACAATTACTTTAAATGTATTAAAAGTTAGTCCATAAACTGACTAATCTCTGAAACCATCCCAAAACTAATCCAGCGTGACAAGCTAGATTGTTCTCTTTGGTGCAACTCTGGGAGTGACAATGTCTGGGTTTGCAGTCTGGTGTTGGATGACTACTCTGAACCGCAGTGTCAGCAATCTTTCCGGTCAGAGGGAAGGCCCACAGGCTGGTCTGATCAACCCACAAACTAAAGATGAAATATTTGCTGACTGCTAGACAGATAAAATATCAAATTGGAAGATGTCAACTTCATTATTTCAAAGCTGACTGTACAGTCTATCAAAGTTCATAAAGTTCGTATTTAACAAACTGGCACTTTTCACGCAAATGCGCACTTTTGTGCTGCCATAACTCATGCACTGCATATGCAAAAACAGTTCTGTGCTGCTTACCAACAGGGACTTGGCTGAGGATGTGTTATTAGGTGACTGTGTCACGGGCTTACACACTGCAGTGGTTACAGCATCACTGGGCCATCTGCTCCTCATTGTCTCACATGCAGCTCGACTGTGGTTTCACTGCAGCTCTGTGGCCATGGAAAAGATTTTTCAGTTCCTTCGTCATAAACTGGGTAAATAACAGCAACGATAAATGTGTTCTGAGGACTCCAACCCGCAGAAAGCATTGAAGGGTAGCTCTGGGCCTGGGCCCACTCAGCCCTCTGAAGCACAGGTCTCCTCAGCCCTGCTCCCTGCTGGCTGCTCCGATGTCCCTAGGCCTGTGGAAGTCAAGTATTTGGGACCTAGAGCACATGTGATCCCACTGTTTTGCAGGACTCTGTGGGTAGAGTCCCTGCTCCCTGAGCAGGTGGCAAGAGAGTCACTTCCGACAAACCTTCATACCAAAGTGGTCCTGTCCCTGCCCATGTCATTTCCAGCCACCCCAGGGAAGATGTCCACATTCTCTGTCCTGAACCCAGAGCCACAGAGTCAGTGACTGCATCTTACCAAAGAGACGTATTTCTTCCTCTCACAAGTCCATTGTTCTCACTGGGATTTTTTTCTCCCTCTCAGGATAAGGCTGCAAGAGACATTTGCTGGGCTCCGGGAAGCAAGGCCTAGCTGTGAGCACTCAGATGTGGGTGCCCATCCTCCTCTAGGGATCTGGCCAAGCAGACAGAAGGGTCTGGGCTTCCCTGAGGTTTTAAGACCTCAATGCAGGTCCAGCTCTGCCACTGGCTTAAATTCCTTGATCTGAACCTCCCACAGGGTTCACGGTAGCTGCACCACCATTTCTAGAGGTAGGGACCAAATGGAGTTGACTCAGGCATGAACAGCAGTGCTCTGGGCCTGTGTGAGTTGCTCTACCATCTTCCCAGTTCTTAGGGACCCTGCAGGGCTCTCTGCTATTTTCTTTAGTTCAGTTTCTTTAGCTCTTTTAGCAGCTCATATGTCTCACTGTCCAGTGCAGGATGAGTCCAGATTCAGAAGTTAGGGCCTAGTTTCCAACCAGACTCAGCCTTGGCTTCAGGGCTGGCTCTCCTCTTAGACCTCAGGTTTTGTACCTGTAACCTAAGGAAGTCAGACAGAGCATCTCCAAATCCCCTCCTAGCCCCACAAACCCTTTGGTTCTTATCACAGATTTTTATATAAGGTCTTAGTAGTTTCCTAAAATAAAGCTAATAGAGTTGTTTTTATTATGACCCAAAAAAAAGTTGGAGAGAAGAAACAAGAATAAGCAAGACAGTGGAAATTCATGATGCACATGGGATTGCAATATACTACTCGCTCTATTTTATGTTAATTTCTTCATGATAAAACTTTCTTTTAAAATAATTCCTTCAAGTTTGGATGTCAGTGCAGCCTGTGCTTCCCAGTGCCCCAGGGAGGCAGCCCTCTGTCTAATGCAAGGTGACTTCCAAAGGAAACCCCCATCTTGAAGTCTTCCATATCCTGTCTCCATCTCTGGTAACAGCTTCAGCAGTGCCCCTGCTCCAACATCAGAAAAACTCGGGGTTTTCCAGGATCTTCTATCCCCACATCCTTTTTTTTTTTGGCCCACAACTATCACATTTATAAAGAAAAAGTCACAGACAGGACTCAGAAGGCTCAAGCATTTGGCCGAACTGGAGACTTTAAGATCCCCGGAGCTGCATCCCTTTGGCAGGGGCAGGTTTTCACCCAGATGCGGAGGGATTCTTGGTCCCATGAAGCGACTCAATGCAGAAGTCCCCCACCTGCAGCCTGTGTAGAAGCACCCCCACCCCCAAAGGCCACTTGGTCAGGGCCTCTGTTCACAAGGCCATGGGCGTCGCACCTTCTCCTTCCTTCCTGGGTGGCCTGGCATCCTGGAGAAATGTACTCATCACCCCAAATTTAGGAAGCCTCTCAGGGAGGCACCTTGATCCCCTAATCCCCTTGACAGAGACTGGTGGGATTGTGGGGGCTCAGAAGTGACGACGGCAGCCATCCACCCTTGGTGCTCCTGTGACCTCCCTGTGAGCTACACCTGGCAGCCAGTCGCAGCCTGCAGGCCTGCCCATAAGGAGGGGCCAGCATGTGCCAGAAGGGGCTGGCTCCAGGCCACAGCAGCCCCAGGAGGCCATCTTTCTTGCCAAGGACCAAGCTTTAGCTCAGGCAGAGGCCGAGAGACCTCTTGCCATGTGCCTAGCACAGAGCTGAAGACAGAAAAAGTAGGTGAAGGCTGCCTCAAGTGGATCCCAGGCCAGAGTGGACCTAGAGGTCATTCCACAACACAACAGAGAGCAGTGTGTGTCTGGAAAGTGCACAAGTTGACCCAAGGATTTCTTAAGGGAAAAAAATTATTTCCTGAAAATCTACTATGTGCCTCAACTTATGTCAAGAACTCTATAACTCCATCTCGTTTCAGGTTTGTAAAAGGGACTGCTAACGTTTCACAGAAAAGAAATGGGACATCCAGGACTTGACAGGCCACATAGCTAGTAAGTAGCACAACCAGAATTAAAACCCAGAGCTGTGTAGCTCCAAAATATGTACAGAAAATATTGCTATAAATTTCCCTTAAATTCACACGTGTAGGAGTAAGTTCGCCATTTGACAACTCACCTCATCCTAACAAACAAACTAGGAATCAGTATCACAGCTGACTGAATTACTGGGGCTTCTACATGGGGCTGAGCAGGCTGCTTCCCAAGAGGAGGTCGCCCAGGGCACCCTCAGAGGCTCCGCGGGCGCCCCCTCACGCTGCCGGCCAGAACTGCAGCGGAGCCCCGCACCGGTGCTGAATACCGGACTGAGACGCCCCCCTCACCATCACCGAGAAACCACAGACCTCAGGCGACTCAAACATCTGCAAATCTGAGCGGCTCTGACTGTGGGGTTAGCAGCACACGTCCTCCCGTCGTAAGAAGCACCTGGCATGGTTGGTCCCTTGCTAAAGGAAGATCAGGTTCCAGGCACTTGCATACTCGTGTCCAGAGAGGGAGCCGTCCGTTGTGTGAGCCTCCCCATCCCCAAGGAGCTGTGTACAGGATTCAACAGAGGGAATGGGGTGGAATAACGAAGAGAAGTCATCGGGGAAAGGATGTAGTATTTTCACTGAAGCAGAGTGCAGTCCACAGCCAAAGCGGAAAGCTGGAAGTGGGTGGGCCGGCCGCAGAGGGCCCTGTCTCCAAGCACGCCAAGAAGAGCGGACCTCGTCCTGTGGGCAGGACGACCCAGAGCAAGGTACCCACTTAGTTGAGTCTGCAGTGTAGAGAAGAGGCCAGAACAGAGTGGAAGAGGGCTGGAAATGACAAAGCCAGGTGGGCCGTGCTTTTGAGATCCTGTGGTCTTTTGTAACTAGGAGGGACACGCCTGGGACCCAAATTAAGGTGGTGATCAGCAGGATGAAGAAAAAAAGGGGGATCTGAGAGGCACTAAGGGAGCAACCCCTTATCCTGGGCAAGGACTGTAAAGTATGGGCCAGGCATGGGTGAAGCCCTGGGCTTGATCTCTAATTCTAAAAAACAAACCCACACTGACCAGTGGTCTGAGAATGACCCGAGTGGGCAAGGGACACATTCTCTGGGGAGAAACCCAAGAAGAGCCTGTTAGGTGGAGAGGAGGAAGCCATGCTGAGTTTGAGGCCCTGTGGGCCTATGAGAGGATGGGGCAGTGCCGGGAGGCCCAAGGTTGTCTTTCAGTGTCTAGAAGTGCATCCTGTACCAGAGAGGGTGGGCCGTGGAGGTGGGGACAAAAACCAGGAGCAGGCAGAACACACGCCTCTGAGTGTGTGGTGGCTTTGCTAGAGAACCAGGGAGTGCAGCAGGAGGAGTCTCAGTTTTGTATGTTCTTTTTTCTGGATGCAGACAGTGTTCAAAGAACAACGTTTGAAGATGGAGCTGAGGCTTCCCTTCCCATGCCCTGTTCCACGACTCTGCCCTCCCACCACGATAGCTTCCCCCAGGGAATGAAAACATCCAGGGTGCCAAAGCAAAAGGACACAGGGAACATCACTAGGCACCAGTCACACAACCCACGGATAAATCATTCAAAACAGTTGTGATCGTAGGTCACAATGTGACGTTCTGGCAGATCACTAATTGAAAATATAAAATAAAACTCATTCCTATCTACTCAGTTTTTTTAAAAGTACCTCAGTGTTTATGATCATAAAAATATAAAGAGAAAATTGATGTTGAACTCCAGCAAAAGGAAATACTCATATAAATAGAGAAAATAATTTATAAAGTTTCATCTGTCATTGAGATGTATTTCCAATGAGTGTGCATTTTTATAAGATTTGTGACATATTCATGTTCTTTTCTGTACTAAATATTATAATATGACTTTTTTTTAATATGTAGAGACTTATGGCTACATTTAAATGTGAAACATTTCAAGGCTTTACCTGTGAGCACTCAGCTTGAGGGTAACAGACCAAACCTTAGGACAAAGTGCAGTCCAACTGGGTAGGGCTAAGCCAAAGAGGGGAGTTCAGGGAGCACAATAGCAGAGTTAGGAGAAGCAGGTGAAGCATTTTGTCCCCTGAGAGGAGAAGCAGCATCCCAGGGACTGAACAGGATGGGTAGAAGTGGGGACAATTATGGACAATTATGCTGCAGGTGACACTGCCTTCCTGACTCCACCCTCCGAAGGACAGGGCTAAGCTCAGAGCAGCAGACTCCCCACAGCTTGAGTGGGTTGGTGGAGTACTGGGACTGTGTGTCCCTACCATATCACCTGCAGTGCACAGACATGGCCTCTCCTCCAGCCTGGGTGAGGAGGCTAGGGTGTGATCTCAAGCTCTCCCAAACCTCTTCCTGCGTATGACTTGTAATTCCACGCTTAGTATTTACCTAAGTCATGAAGATACATGTCTATACCAAGCCTTGTATAGAATGTTCTTAGCAGCTGTTTTTCATAATGGTCCCAGACTAGAAACCACTCTGGCATCCATCAGTAGAACCTTGAATAACAAACCAGAGTTCACAAACAAATGAGCTACTGCTCAGCAATAATGATAGAGAGTGACCCACTGAGGCAGGTAACAACACAGGAGATGCGCAGGTTGGAGATGCAGCCCACAGAGCTGATGGCACTGTGGAGCCATGGAAGGTATCTGATGTCAAAATAAAGAAGGTAGCAGTGAGAGATGAAGCAAGAGGGCGCTGTGGGGCCATGCCATAAGGAACCAGGAAGAAAGTCACCATGCATGACTATGCAAATCAAGCAACACCGGTGGGTACCCAGTGAAGAGCAGAAGTGTCTTCCTGGCAAGTGCTGCATCTGGGGAGAAGGGAGGCCCTTTGCCATTTTGCACAAAATTCCTTGTCCTGAAAAGGATCATTGTTATTTTTCCCCTGTGATTCAGATGCTTTTTGGATGAATTATAAGGATTTGGGCCGTTATTCTAAAGGCACTGCCGGCCACTGACATACACCATGCAGTTTCCCCAATTTAACTCCGTCTGTGCAGTCCTTCCTCCCATACCACTTACGGGCACTGGAAAAGGAGCCACTGCCAACCTTGGACTTCTCTGCCACCCTTAAAGCAGACTGGGGAGCATCTGTGAGGGGATGTTCCTTGGACATCACAGGGTGGCCAGCTCCACACCGTCTGCAGCATATCACTGTCACCAGTGATGGATCACGGCATTGTTAGAAGGCTGAAGGGACCTCGCAAGTGAAGCAGGTTCCAGTTGCTTGGCAGTGAAGAAAGGTTAGGCTGTTCCCAGAGACTCCACAGCTTTGCACAAGCAGCCTTTGGGGTGATGGACCAAAGACCAGAAAGTCTTCACCAGATGCCAGGGGAGGCATCCAGGAGGATCTCTTCCTTCCCTCCTCCCAACCCACCCTGCATCTCAGCTCTTCTCAACAGAATTCCGTGGTTGGCTGAATATCTTAGGAACTGCCCTACCATTGTGAGGTAAGAAAGCGAAATATAAATAAACAGCATTCCAGTTAGCTGGGAGGTGAACTAAGGACTGGACCATTTTTCTTGGGTAGGTCCACACCAGCCCTCCCTCCCTCCTCCTGAGGTGCTCTGAGCCCACTAAGAGACTCTTCTCTACTCCAGGCTCCAAGATGGGGGATAATCAGGGAGGTCAGTGGTCTTCAGCAGCAAAGTAGGCCAGGTATTGGTCCCTACAGCATAAAGGCCTGGATCTCTTTGATTGCCTGCCTGGCCTTCAAAACCCTTCTGGGCCAGTTGAGTGCTGCCTGGTTTCCGGGTGGAGTACCCCCTCCCACACCTCATTCCTCTGTGCTTCATTGCTAAGAACTCTTGACATTTCCGGCAGGCTCTCCTGGGGAAGATAATTTGCAAAATTTTTCTCTAGTCTTAATCTTCATCTTGACTTAATAAAATAAACTATGAGATATTTACACTGTAGCTGGATGAAAGACTACACCTGCATTGCTAATACATTTTATCATGTTTTATGTCTTTTTTTGGACAGAGTCTATGTAGTTCAGGCTGGCTGTGAAATCTCCTTGAATTCTTGGTGATCCTTCAGCCCCAGCCTCCTGACTATTGGGATCACAGGTGTGTGCCATCACACCCAGCTATGTTTTATGTCTAATCACATCTTTTGCCATTCATACCATTTCTGCTCTGGAAAATCAGGATACTGATGTGACAGGAACACATTAAGCCACATTCTCATGGGTACAGAGAAGTCTGTAGTTCTGTCCAGGCCACAGCATTGTTTGCAGAGGCAGCCATTCCCAAGGGACATTGGGAAGTAGCTCCGGTGTCTGCATGTGATGCTCACCCAGCACATCCAACTGGACTGCAGGCTCTTCCTCCTCGATCTGCTCCATTTAGCTGGTGCTAATTGCTCCATACCCAATCATGACACAAGAAAAATCAGAGGTGATTGTGAGGATGGTTCTGAAGCTGGGTCTTCCTAATTTGATGCACTGATACACTTCACATGACATTGAGGAAATCGAAACATAAGTGACCCAAAATGAACCTACATCATGCATAATTACCTTGCAATGAAAATAATATAATTCCAAACTATTAAATTAAAGTGATTTCCCACATTTGAGAATTAAGGATCTTCCATAAGAACAAATTCTCTCTCACTCTCTTCAAACAGATGGGTTATTATAGCCTCAGGGGTCTCTCTTCAACCTAACTAAAGGTGAGTCCTATTATAAGTTTATCTTAGTTTTAAACTCTATCAAACCTTTGACTTCATTAATATTTTACACAGCTCATCTGTCTCATTTTGAGCCCCTGGGTTTTAGAATTCTTAAAGTCTTTTTTTTTTAACCTCCGATCTTTGGTGAGAGCAATGTTTTAATTATACATAAAAATTTTCCAGCTCTAATTTTGTAGTCTCTCCTCTGTTATCGTCACCTATGCATCTGCAAACACTTAAACACACCTGTTCTGAGAAGACATCAGATACTATCCTGACACTCTAAAGGAAGAACCACCTCAAAATTAACAGGCTTTTCTCATGGCTTAAAAATTTAACTGAGAGCTCAGGTTGTAGCTCAGAGTGCAGCCCTCAGCATCACCAGAGCCTGGGTTCCATTACAAAAGAAAAAAACTAAGTGAAAATATATTTTGCCTTCTTACATGATCTTTTCAAATGTTCCCTGTGTGTCATATTTTCATATTTTTATCGAGTGGCCAGCAGCCCAACCTGCAGAGAGCACAGAGCCTGCTGCTGGTCTCTGGTGCCCTGTTCTTCAGCCTGTGGGGTACAGGAGTAGGATAAAGACCCAGGAGGTCTGTCCAACCTGGTCCAAGGCTAATGGACCAAAATGGAGGGGGAAGACTATAAGTGGAGACAGGAGATGCAAACTAAGTGGACAGAGAGCAAGATGAGGAGGCTGCCAGCAGAGATGGAAACAAACCCTGGAGTGTGAGCCACACCTAGAGAAACCCCAGGCCCCAGGAGAACATTGTAGGTGAGCAGAGGCCTCTGCTGTATTTCTGTGAGGCCTCAGAAGTTTGGCTTAGCCCCCGCTGGGGGAGGACTGGACAGCTCACTGTCACAGACGGCTGGTGGTCACTCTGGTGAGAACCCCCGCAGCAGTCTAGTGGGCCTCCTTGACCGATACCAGTCAGTCTGCAGCCCTGCTGGGCCAGACTCAGCAAAGAGGTGTAGGTGAGAACCCTGAGTTGGACTGTGCAGGTCAGAGCTTGGTTTTGCCACCTGTTACCTCAGCAAGTTCCTGAATCTCTCTGTGACTCAGTTTCCCTGTCTGTAACATAGGGACAAAAATGGTACTGATGCCACAGGGTGGTTTTAAGGATTGCATGAGTTAATTAATTCAAAAATAGTACAAGAGGGACTGGAACATAATAAGCATTTAACAAATACTAGCCAATGATATTGTCAAGTGTCCTAGCTCAAGGTCCTGGACTTTGCAACCTCCCTCCTAATTTTTTTCTTCCTAAAATGCTCCAGATTAATAATTCTTTATCTCTGGAGACCAAAACTCCTCACTCCTCATTCTCTCATTTAATCATACAATAGCCACAAAATTCCTATCAGGAAGAACCTGATCACATTACCAAAAAATCTCATAAACCATGAGAGAAAAAAAAAGTCATTAAGTGTAGTAGCGCATACCCGTAATCCCAGCTACTCTGGAGGTTGCATCAAGGTTCAAGTCCAGCTGGGGCAACTTAGCCAGACCCTGTCTCAAAATGTTAAAATTGTTTTTAAAAAATGAGCCAGGGGTGCAGCTCTGTGAAAGGCCCTAGGTTCAATCCTTAGTACCACAAAAAAATTTTTTAATAAATTGAACTTCACTGAAATTAAAATATTCAAAGGATACAAGAAATTGAGAAGATGTGACATGGGTTGTGGAAAAAAAAATCACAATATGTATATCTGGAAAAAAACCACCCCTGTATCCAGAATATGTAATGAACTCATTTGTATAGCAATAGTAACATGAAGATAAACAATACAACTTCCTAAAATGGCCAAAAGATTTAAATAAGCTTTTCATAACTGATACATATATATGGTGTATAAGCAAATCAACAGAACTCCACATGCACTGCTGACATAAAAATTTAAATTAAAACCACACAAACAGACTATCTCAGTACCCCCTGGAATATCCCCGGCCCTCAGTGACTTTATATATACTATCCCAAAGCCATCCACAGAGGTAGATAAACAAAGTGGTATATCAATGCATGGAATCCTAGTAAGCAATGAAAAGGAACCAGCTGTTCATAATGCAACAACATGGATATATCTTTAAAATATCCCAGGGCCAGGGATTTATCACAGTGGTTCCACCACCTGCCTCGCAAGCACAAGGACCCAAGTTCGAACTCCTGTACCAAATAAATAAATTAATTAAATTAAATATTATACCAAGAAGCAAGACATTAAAAAGCTTCATACTGCATAATTCTGTCTGTAGGACACTGTTAAACAGGCAACTAATCTTGTAAGGGCACATAAAGGACTTCCTAGAACCAGGCTATTCAAATACTGCATAGCACCAGGAAGGAACTTCTTGAGGTGACAGAAATACTCTGTATGTGGATGGTTCTGTCTTGTGGTTACCCCGGGGTTTTTCATGTATAAAAATTTTGAGCTGAACACCACCAAAAAAAAAAAAAACAACAAAAAAAAACACCACATCAAAAAGTATACTTAAAATGAGTGTATTTTATTGTATGTAAATATTAACTCAATAAAATTGCTTTGTAAAAACAAGCATCTTTCTTTAGCAACAGAAAAAAACAGTTCTTTACGCCTGGAGTAGCAGGGGACAGAAAGGGAGTCAGTTGTTTCTTTTTAAAATAGACTTTATTTTTCAGAGCTGTTTTAGGTTCATAGCAAAATTGAGCACAAGGCTTAGAGATTCCAGTTTGCCCCATGACCTCACATACACAGCTGCCCCCGTGATCAACTTCCCACACCCAGAGGTCGGTACATGGGGCACCAACAGAGCTGTGCAGGTCTCACCAAGTGATCCATTTGTTATGATTGATGAATCCATGTCACGAACACAGTGTTCTCATCCAAAGTCCACAGCTCATAGCCGGTTGGCCCTGGTTTTCCTCATTCTATGGGTCTGGACAAATGTATAATGGTGCACACCCACTGCTCTAGTACTGGAGTATTTCATTGCCCTAAAACTCCACTCCTCCTAACCTGTTCATCCTTCTCTACACCCTCCATCCCCTGGTAACCACTGACCTTTTTTTTTTTTCCTCCAAAGTTTCACGTACTTGGAAGTATACTTTCTAGATTGACTTCTTTCACTTAGTACTATTTAAAGTATCTCCTTGTCTTTGCATGCCTTGATGGTTCTTTTTTTTCAGTTTTTCAAGGTAGGTTAATGGGGCGGGGGATTTAACTCAGTGGTTCGGTGGCCTGCCTTGAAAGCGCAAGGACTCGAGTTTAATCCCCGGTACCAAAAAAAAAAAAAAAAAAAAAAAAAAAAAAAAGATAGGTTGTTATATAGCCCAGACTGGCTTTGAATTCATGGCTATCCTCCTGCCTCAGTCTCCCAAGTGATTAATCCCAAGGGATTACAGGCATGCACCACGTCACCTGGGAATACCTATTTCTTTTTATTGCTAAAGTGTCAAATTGTCTGAATTGTCTATTTATCCATCCAACCACTCAAAGGTATCTTGATTGCTTCCAAGTTAGGCACTGATAAATAAAGCTACTATAAATATTCATGTGCGTGGATGTAGTTTTTCACTCATTTGGGTAAATATCTAAGAGTACAGAGGGTCTTCGGTCACTAGTCCCCGGAAACCCTTCAATTACAGTTCATAGTTTCCTGGTCTGGTACAGTTCCTGTGGGAGGTATCTGGCTCCAGAGTGACAACTGAACAAATGTAAGAGTCCAGATAGGAAGAAGTAGGTGGGACCAACTCTGGTTTGGTTGCTTTGCATTTAGTCCCCCTGAGGGGGTGGCTCCTCCAGAGCCAGGAAGGCCCAGGTGTCCAAGCTCAGAGCACAGAATTGGAGTCAAGGCTACACTGA